CCTTCCCTTCCATAGTTGGCACCTGGGGCGGCAGGTCGAGGGACTAGAAATGTGCAGAAAAATCTCAAAGTGGCATATCTGGAATCAGGGTGTAGGTGAAAAGTCCTCTTTTCCCCAGGGCTGGGACGGCATCCTCAGTGAATTTTGTTCATTTCCAGCCTTCCCACTTTAAGAGGAGCAGAGAGAAGATGAAGTGTAATCAAGTGAGATACGGCAAAGAGGAGACACGGAAAACCAGGAGAAAGGATGTCCCTGTGTCCCTCGGGGCCCTCAGCATGGACAGTGGGTGGCAGTTAGACGGGGGAAGCAGCTATATGGGGTCACCCAAGAAGCCTCCTACAGGAAGGGGTGGTGGGTTGAAGGGATGTGGCTGTGACCTTCAGGGGTGTACCAGACTTCAGAAAGAGAGAGGGGGCATTTGATGATGCTGGGGAAAGTGAGTGAGAAAATCTGTCCTGGTGACTAGCAGGGGTGGAGTAGGGAGGGCAAGGCGGGGAGTCTCCCAGGGCGGAGGACTCTTTTAGGAGTCAACTTCTAGAGTCCACTTCATCAAGTGACACCGCCCATTGGAGGGGACTCCCTTGCTTAAGTCAATGCCGTAAGGAAGTTGTGAGTGCACTCAGCTGTGCACAGGATGGGTGCCTACACCTGAGCAGACACACAGGCCAGGCCCCGAAGCCCCACATACGACTCCTACCTGGTATCTAACAGGCACAGCGTGCTAGGTCAGAAAATGCTGATGGAGGCCTCCAGGACCATGCGGGCCTGACCAGGCCAAAAGACTCTGCTGCACCTGCCAATCACCACCTGCCATGGTGGCTTGGATTTGCGGCTGAGAAGGGCATGAAGTCCTGGATAGACAGGCACAGAGCTCAGCCCCAGCAGACACCTGTGATACCAGAGGAGCCCCTGGGAGCCAAGGGCAGCAACTCCCTTTTGACCACATCATATGTATGAGGTTTAATATAGGTGATAAGGGACTTGAGCTCTGGAGGCAGAGACAGGTGGGTTTGTATT